CCTGTCCACAGGTGACCAAACACTCGGTGCCAGTGCGCGCCCGGATCTCCTGCTTGAGATAGTCGGCCACTTCCGAGTAGTCGGCGAACGACACGCGCACCGCCTGTTGGGCCAGTTCGGTGACCGCGCGCTCAAAGCTAGCCCCACAGGGGTCGCACGTGTCGAGCACATGGACTTTGGCCGAGTGTTTGGCGCCATTGATCACGTGCTTGAATGAGCACTAGTTTTAAAATTAAATTTAAATTATGTTTTAAAATATATACTTATAGTTTACTTAAATTATGTTTAGCTTGATTAGGCTAGGTTTATTTTAGGGTAGGATAGGTTAGGTTAGGTTAGGTTAGGTATATTTATAGTAGTTATGTGATTATTTAGTAACTATAAAACTTTCATATTTTAATTATTTTCATACTTTATTTATAAACTGTTGCAATAACTTGGTGAAATTATTGCAACTCACTTTTATAACCGGAATAAATACTGAGCTTATAAAATTTTATATTATCATAACTAACATTGAATATAAAATTTTATTATTTATTATATTTATATTATTAGAATAACATAATATTTTTTATACAGAAAATTTTTTTAATTTTAATTTAAATGAAAATTGTTTTCAACTCCAGTCCCGGACAGGGATGGCATGACAAACTAGGTCGAATTCCTGCATTTGGCATTTTATGCATTTTAACAAGTAACTAGCTAATTATAATCTATTTAATTTTAAAATATATTATTAATTTTAATTGAATTGTACAGGCACCACGCTACAATCAGTCGGTATGCTTATCATTAAATATTTATCTAATGTACCTATTTCAGAAATCATAATTATCAGGTATGTTTTAGTTTTGCATTTTAATAAACACGTTACATTTAATTCCATTTATTACCTAGAAATATTTTCCAAGTTATCGTGTTCACCATTTTATCCTTGGTGAATAAGCACACTATTATGGGCTCTACTACTAATCGTACCATGCTACTAAATCGTAGTATTGTACATGGTGTACACATGGTATGTTCATTTCACGCCTACCGACTCATGCCCCTGACTGACGTCATAACTATCACGAAGTCCAACATAATATTCACCATGATACTTGCTTACATCATACTGCACGACCCTATAACACTCATACACATTAGCACCAGTAGTCTAGCACTGGTCGCCGTATTTTTGATATGTCGACCGAAATTTCTATTTCAAATGGACAGCCCCTATAGCCCAAATGACAAGGACCGGACAGTAGGCGTAATCCTATCATTAGTTTCGGCACTATTTATGTCATACTCGGCTATATTACTGCGAAAGCTTAAGTCAACTCCCGTTCCCATCATAAACCTATGGGACTCAGTTATCATGGTCATAATATCTAGCATATTATTTTCTATTATGGGTAACCATTGGGTTATCCCTACCGGAGTGAATGATTATGCAATGCTAACATTTATATGTTTAACTGGGTGCATATCGCAATATATAACTGCCCTCGGTTATCGTTACGAAAAACCCGGCCCTTTATCAATAGTCAGCAGTTTTAGGCTAAAACTAGCGTTTTTAGGGGATGTCCTAATATTTGGTGAGAGTATTATCTGGATGTCAATAGTCGGCGCGTGTCTAATAATGACCTCTATTGTAATAACAGATTTGAATACTATTTATCGTGAAAACCCTGATAAGTTTGGTCATTATATTAGTTGTAAATTTTGGGTAAATTCAAGGGTCGACAGAAGTCCTACAGAAAGTACTGGTAAAATGTTGGACAACACCACCGTGTAGCAATATTATATATTTATTAAAAATAATTATTTATTTTATGTAAGCTTGTGAATTTTAAAAATAAAACTTTTATTATAATTATGATATTGCTAAAATAGCTAATAATTTTATTTTTAAATATTTTGCACCTTGTCTATTTGCACCGAGTTAGTTTGTTGTAGTGTAAATAATAATAAAAATACTAATTTACCTTAAATATTTAATTAAAATAAAATGAGCAAGCATTTAAACTATAAACATTATAGCGTACTTTTATATTAAAGTACAAATACAACAAAAAATAAATAGCGTACCTCATCAGTAGCCTGGTGATTATTATTATCGCTACCAATCAGCGATTCTAGATGCAGTATACGTTTACCCTGATCCAAATTAATATCCTTTAATTTTTGCAACTCGTGGCCACTTTCGGCCAACTTTTGTTTCAACAGTTTATTGGTTTGCCTTAAATTCAATAGACTTTCGTTGATTTCATGCAAATAATCCATTCGTTTGACAAAACAATACAAATATTTATAGATTTTATTTATAAATTAGAAAATTATTTCATAAAAACATAGAGTACTTGTAAATAAAAATAGTTTGCTATATATATATACCTATTATCATAATTAATAAGTGCTTTGATGTGTTTTAAACACTATTATAAAGGTATTATTTTTTAAACACGGCGATTATTGTTATAGCAATTATTTTTGTTATCTTAAGTTTTAAACAATTAATGTTTATTTGTGTATTAAAAAGCTTATTTCTAATGCAGTAATTTGTTATTAACTATTAATTATAAGAATCTAGACAATTTAATAAAAAATTTAAAACAGGTAACATAAATTATTATAAATACTATCATGTTTAATAAATTATATGTTTCAAACTGTAAAAATAACTTACTTTGGTTTTAGTTATTTAAAAATTCACTAGATACCAACATTTGTACAACTATACTGTAACTGTTATTTGAGTATGCGCATTTATATGTTTACTTACAGTTTCCAACGGACATTCAATAAGTTGAAAACAAATCACATTTTTTGAGTTCATTAAGTTTGTAATCATTATAATGTGATTAATTGTACAATTTTTTATTGTAATAAGCTTATTTATTGAATTATGTTAATTATTTTCAATAAAAGTGTATTAACATACTAATAAAACATTATTGTTATGTTTGTCTACAGTTTATGTGCAAAACACGTGTTCATAACTTATTGTAAAGTTATGCCAAGATTTTGAAAAACTTTATTTTTGTTTGTATGTTAATATTTTTATATCCGATAATAACATGAATACCACGTTAATCGAGCAGATAATTAAAAGTGAATTAAATTTACTGTTAAAAGTAATCCACATTAACAAAAGTTTAGCCGAAAGTGAGCGTAGTTTGAATGCAAACCCAGTATTAATCGGCAATTGTTTGCCAAACACTGATCAGTGCAGTGATAGTCGTGTCGTAAAAATGTGTAAAATTAGCGCCAAATGCGGCGATTGTGTCAACACTGATAACAAAGTTATTGTCAAAACCACTTACAACGAGAATAGCAAACAATTCAAGTGCTTTCAACCTAACTGTCCATTTGAGTGCAAATATTACGATAAACTAAAAGCCCATGAATTAATACACTTGACACACACCACGAATAAGTGTCACCATGCTCACTGCGAGCGACATTTTGATAGTTACCCGGCTCTAAAACAGCACATGGAAACTGAGCATGAACATACTGATCAAAATGTGCGCGATTATAAAGATACCCACAAATCTGTTACAAATAAAAGTCCAAAGGATAGGCGTGTGAGGGGTGTGGGCGTCAAACAGACTGCGCTAATATGTGATTACAAGGATTGCGGGAAAAGTTTTCAATATAAGGCTACTCTGAAACGACATCAACTGATTCACTCGGATGTGAAGCAATTTGTATGCGATTACGAGGGTTGCGGCAAAGGGTTCGCCCAAAACGTAAACCTCGCTCAACACAAACGCATCCATTCCGGCGAAAAGACGTTTGTTTGTGATTATAAGGATTGCCGCAAAAGTTTTCACCAAAAGTCTAATCTGAAGACTCACGCGAAAAGTCATTTGAAAACTAAAAATACTAAAAGACAGTCAATGTATGCGACAAAATTAAATGTTAGTAATTAAAATAGCTGGATAACTTTGTTGCTAATTAATGTTTATCATGTCTACTGTGTAAATGTATAATGTTTATTATTGTAAAATTTTTTGGACAAAAATAAATAGCATTTATATAAATAATATAATTCTAAGAATTAAATGTTTGACTTTAGGGCACCGGTAGGTGTGACATAGAAATGCTAGAAAACCGGTTTTGTTTTAAACATCACTTCAACCGTTGGTTAAGTTTTAGCGCCAATTGGTCTCAAAAGTCATTTGTGGGGTTTTGTGAAAATAATATTAAATACTATTTACAGCAAATTTATAAAATGTGTGAAATATTGAGTGAAATGAAATATTCATTGAATAAATTGCATGAATTGAAGAGATTGTGTCAAAATTTACAGGAAATTCAGTGTTTTTTGTCACAAAATGCAAGTGTTTTGTGTGAAGGGATTGAATGCGAAAATGCAGTGAATTTGTCAATGAATTGCAATTCAATTGATTTGAATTCATGTAAAATAAGTGATAAAATGCTTTCCAATCACAACACCATTAATACACTCAACACTTATCACTATTTCCACTGTTTTTGGCCTAAATGTCAATTCAAGACTAAATTGAAAAGTAATTTAACTAATCATCAATTAAAACATACTAACAAAAAACAATTTAAATGTGATTTTACTTATTGTAATAAAAATTTTAAGACATCTTCACAATTAATTGAAAACAAAAATATTGTTCATTTAAACGTGAGATATGTATGCGATTGGAGTGAATGTCGCAAACAGTTTACAGCAAAAC